TTTTCTCTCTGCGAACTGCCTAATAGTTCTATTGTCCCTCTCTCTCTCTCTCTCTCTTTCTCTCTCTCTCTCTCTCTCTCTCTCTCTCTCTCTCTCTCTCTCCTGCTTTACATGAGTTCTTTATATCTTCTAGATACAAATTTTCTGTCTATTTTATATGTTGCATCATACATCTTCCCCAGTTTTTGCTTGCCTGGTTTTTTAATTTTCCATGTAGTGTGTGATGAACAGAAAAGAAATTAAGTCATAGAGTATGAGTATTTTTAGTTTGACCAAATAATTCGAAGTTGCTGTCCACAGTGCCACACTAGTCTACACACCCACCACCAGTGTTTGAGAGTTACTATGCATCCACATTCTTCTCAACGTTGGTATTATCAAGCTTTCTTGTTTTCCCCAGTGTAACAGATATAAAGTACCATCTCACTATTGAATTTATGAGATTACTGATGAGTCTGAGCATATCTTTATGTTTATAAGATTTTCCCACTTTCTTTACTATATATAAATTGCCTACTCATATCCTTGCCCATTTTTCTATTGGGGTTTGTGTATTTCTTACAGGAGTTTGTGTGTACTTAAGTTATTAATCTCTTGTCAATTTTAGACATTGAAAATACCTTCTTCTTTTTCGCCTATTTATAAACATTGTCCAGTGTGTACTCAGTTATAGAAATACCTTATTTTGATATAAATAGACCAATCATTTTTGCCTGATAGTTCTGATTTGTGGTTGCATTCCTCACATTTTAAGAAGTCTTTCCCATTCCTAAGTGACGGAAATATTTTCTATAGTTTTTTCCCACCAACTTCATAGTTTTACTTTTCAAGTTTTGATATTTAACCCACCAAGACTCAATCTTTGTATATGAGGTTCAATAGAAACCCAGGATCCATTTTGTTTATTTGTGTTTCCTCTAGAGACTGGGCTTGATTTATCAGCAATATCTCTAAACTTTCCACACTTCCTCTGATTGATTTATGGCACCACTTGTGTAATATGAGGTCTGACAATTAAGTTTGCAAACTTGTTGTAACAATATTGCTAACCTTTTTTGATATCAGAGAGACTGTTCATTATGAATGTGTACCAACTGGACAATCAGATAACCAAGTTTACTATTTGGAGGTGCTGAAAAGGCTGTGTGAAAAAGTTAGGTGACCTGAACTTTTCGCCAATTCATGGCTCTTGCATCACAATAATGTACCAACTCACACGGCACTGTCTGTGAGGGAGTTTTTAGCCAGTAAACAACTAACTGTATTGGAACATTGTTGCCTTACAGCCAATCCCACGACCACCCCCTCTGCATTAGCCTTATACACAGTAGTAGAGAGAGTGTCTCGGAAAACTGAGGCCGGATGGAATGATATCTGTAAAGCTCTCTCGGGGGGCGTCTCGGAAAACTGAGACCTGATGGAATGATATCAGTT